TTCTGCCATGGCAAGCATTGATGTTTCTGTAGTCAAGCTGACACGTTGGACTGATGAGGAGCTGTCCTGATCTACTAGATCAGCTTCACCAGAGAATTCTAATTCTGAAAATAATCTGTTTGCCCAGGGAAGTTAATATCCTCTACCAGCTGCAAGCAGTGAGTGCATATGCTCACATTCTTCCATGCAAGAAATTAAAAATAAAATAAAACCAGGAATTCTGTAAGAAACTTATTTTTGAAGAAACAACAGAGCATTAGAGGAGTTCAGCCACAAGATCCTGAGCCTTTATTACCAGTCTGTCTGACCCTCACATTAGGTGAACATAAGGAGTTCAAGAACCAAAGCAAAGAACAGGAAAAGGGTGGTAAAATATTGGGGCATGAGATTTGTACTTGCAAAATATACAGCTATATTGCTTCCACTGCAAAGCCCAACTCCTAGACACAAAAATATGCTGCTTTTTTCCCCCCCTGCATTCAGCAGCATGTTTAACCTTGGAGCTGTCAAGCTCCATCATGAATAATGAGCCATGACAACATTCCAAGTGATCCTTGGAGAACAGACCAATTTTTACTATACGCTACACAAGGCAAAATGCTGTTATCGTATTCCCATGGTATTGTACCTGCTTTGAAAATATACAGTAATGTGGCCATCAAGAGGAAACTGCAAGTAAATACAGAAACAAATGGGCCACTTCATTACATTTCATCATCTAGACATAGAGAATGAGCTATAAAACATGTAAAATCCTAACGCTTCACATTTAAAATTAAACAGGGACCGAGAAGGAGACTCGTCTAACTGAATACGCATCTGATACAAACACTTCACAGCAGAGAAATATCTGCGTTTGAAACAACGCACAGCTGCTACAGTATGAAAAGAGGCTTGATAGCAAGTACCCTGCACATCTCCCAGCGTTGCACTCTCTCGGTGATCTTGTACCAGATGAGCACAAACACAAGGCAGGAAGGCAGCCCCTGCCCCAACCTGCTCACTCTCTCAGACTGCAAATACAAATACTGCATACAAATGGTAGTGCTGAAAACTATAGGAAGAAACTATAGTCATTTGAATAACTGTTTGAAGCTCCTGTACACCAACACCCTAACCATGGCAAGGCAAGCCTTAAAGAAGGCACATAACAAGTAATGGTAAAAGCCATTTCTGCTGTGCTCCTCCCAAGCTCCAGAGAAGCAGAAAGAGGGAGTAAATAGATTCTTTTAATAAATAAATAAATAAATAAATAAATGTCTTATTGGAGGTTTAAATAAATAAGCACAACTCAACAATGGAGGGTTCTGGCTCTAAATATCCCTTTAAATAAGTAAATACATACCTTTGTGTATATATATATAAATATTTCATCATCTGTTCAGGAAATAAGTGCTATTTCATTAACATTCACCTGAAAATACATATATTCTCTAACAGTTCCAAGCAGCAAGCGTCTATTTTGTGTTTCCGCAAAGGGGAAAACAAATGTATCCTTATTCCTGACTTGTTTACAACAGCATATTTGTTCATGGCTTCATGGTGGGAAAACCTTGCCTTTATTTCTGTGGCATTTCTGAGTCTTGTAACAATAACTGAAAATATAGTACATCACTTTCTCTTCTCTGTAAGGGTGCCATTTTATGTACATTTCCATTTCAAAATTTACTAGAAATTATGGCAACTTTTGAAAAGCTCTGGAGAGCAGAAAAGCATTGATGTCACTCAATATACGCTTACCTTTCTTCCAAGCTGCTAAAAAATTCACAGTGGCAGACAGCAGAAATCAGTCCTGAGTACTTAAAACTCCTCAAAGTATAACAGATCTCCTTCCCACCAAACTGCTGTAAAGAGGCACACCCATGCAACCCTTCCTTGCAAGACTGGATGACATCTGAAGAGCCAAAGTCTGAAAAATCCATTGAATTATTGCCTATTGCTAAAGTTGGAAAAAAGCCACTATCCTTGAAGCGATTAATAACAGTTACCCATGATATTGTCTTTGCTGATACTTCAGTTCTCTATTTGCAGGTATGCCTATGCCCCTCTTATCTGCTCTCCTTCCCTGTATTCACCCCTTCACAAACATGATGTTTCCCAGCTAGCCTGTCACATCACACTAGAGCTCCCTTCCTTTGAAATATTCCCAAATTAGCAGAGCCTGCACTACCACCACATGCTGCAGTACCACAATTTCCTGTTCAGAACAGTTCTTCTCTTAATAGAAGACTCACTCTCTGCTCAAAGAAAACCCCCAAATTACAAGGACAGCAATTTTCTTTTTATTATTAGTTAACATGTCCTCAGACCTCTGCATATACTGTCAGTTTCTCCCAATCACTGATAATATACTCCCACTTATATACCACATCATAGCTCTGCACACTTAGCAATTCCATCCCCTACTAGCAATATTTGGCAATAAGATCCCTTTAAAAGAGACTAATTACAGATTTCAGAGCAACACAGGAATTGGTATTGGGCCAATTCGTAAGCTCGTTAATAAGCTTTTAGATTTAACTTTACACCAGGCAGGGCTTTCTATTCTACTTAGAGCAGCAATGTACTTGTAACAGCAAAGGTGAAAAGCACACCACCACAAGGGGAGGAAGGAAGGTCACAGTTCTAACTCTTTCTGTGGCTCCATACCTTCTCAGTCTGAGTTTATCCCTGGAGATAAGCAGCCTACATTACACAGAAAAAAAAAATTAAAAAAAACTCAAGAAGTCAGTTCAGATGTCAGGAAAATAATGAAAAGTAGTCACAAAAAAAAAAAAAGGTTGATGGTGGTATCAGATGAGGAACAAAGACCAGTAAGACCAAAAGTAAGTCAAGGACAAAAAAAAAAAAAAAAAAGAAGTGATAAAATTAAGGATATATGGTCACGTATTACAAAGGAATGTAGCATTTTCTGAGAGTGCTTGCATTAAGCTGGAGTTCCATTTATAGAAGTGATGCAGGAGGCCAAGGCAAAGCCTTTCAAGTGCTTCAGTATCCAGCACCATATCAGGATGGATTCTTTCTGCATACATGAGCCAGACTGAATACAGGAAATGGGAATTATGTCTGTGGATGCTCCTCCTCACCTATGTAATACTTCCCATCTTGCTTGTGTAAACTTTGCCCAAAACGTCCTGTGAAATTAGTTTTTCAGCCAGAACCAATTCTCTGATCCACCTCACTGGGTGGCCAATACCAAGGCTTATTATACCAACACGTTTATTTCGTGGTGGTAAGGGCTTAGGAAACATCCCTTAAACTGAAACCTTGACAATTCTTTGGGGGGTGGGAGGGGGAGGGGAAAGAGAGTCAGCTTTTTGAAAGTCCTAACTAATTCTTCAATATACAGATCACATGCTATTGCTCCTCTTTCCCCCCCTGCCCTGAAAGACACTTTTCCTCCTTTAGTACAAGGGGAATTCACACAAGACTGCAAACTGCGTTCTCTGCTGCCTATCTGATAACTACGGTGGAGACTGAAAAGTGTAACCGACAAAATGAGGGTAAACAGAAAGATTATCCTGTTTTGAAAATCCCAGACTAGCACCTCAGAAAACCACACAAGAGCTTTCTGTGTGAGGTTAGACAAATTATGATTTTCCAGGGTGGTCAATGACTACATAGCATCACATGCAGGTGTCAAATCTGGTGCACTTCAAGTATTGCTATCAACGTGGATGACTACGCAGAAAATTCCATTTGAAATCTGTGGGAACCACATGCCCTTAGTACACAGCTGTCAGGAAGCCTCAAACTGGGAACTCAGACATTTTAAAACATATATTGTGTTATGTATGTAAGAGATACATATCAGTAATGTCTGTTTCAAAGAGATGAAACCCGTGAAAACCTACAACATGTTCAGCTTTTAACATACAGCTTCACCCCTTTGGGAAACATCACACTAAAAGAATGACCTGGATGGCAGCAGACTTAACTTCTATACAGACTTTAAGACATCAACAGAACCACTTTTCCAGGAGGGCCACACACCTGCTCTCTAGACTGTGCTATAACATGTTCTAGTCCTTTTTTTTTTTTTTGGCGAGGTGAGGCGGAGAGATAACAGAGCCACGGTACAAACGTGCGACTTTACACATTAATTTTGAAAGGCAAACTGGAAGTTTGAAATTCACACCTGACCACTTTCCAAGACCAAGAGCTGAGAAATAAGAAAGAGAGAGGAGGTATTTTTCTCCAGCCTCATTCTCAGATGCACCCATGCAGATTTTATTGAAATGATTGCAGTACTTGCCTGCTGAAGACAAATCCAGCAGGAAGAATTTCATCTAGAACTTCAAGACTGTCAAAGTATCTGAACACGGACTACTATAAAGAGAAACATCAAGAAACCTCAGATGACATGTTAATAACCGCCCTAGTTATTAATACATGCATACACATACGCAGTTTATTAGAAGAGCTAATGCTTTTGAGAAGAAAAAGTAAACACAGATATCTGCCAGCAGCTGTACCACCATATTCCATAGCTGCTTTTGATTCCATTCAGTGGACATCAAGTTAATCCTACCAGACAGTATCATTCAAGCTTATAATAGCTACTAACCTCATTTCTGTGCTTGAGTTCTGCAATAGTGCCATGACTAAATGTGAAAAGCAACATATCACACTTTGTCAGCAGGCAGTGGCCATCTTTTCTCCATTCAAGGCTTTCATTCATTTCTGTATTTTTAAAAATCATGCTGTTTAAAAACAGCTGATCCAGATGGTGGATACTCACATTTCAACCTTCCCACATGGTAGTGTGACTCAAGAAAATAAAAGCTGTTGCTACCTGCTGCTGACCTACTTCTTTCTTTAATTTGTTTCCTGCCACAGTACAGAATAAACAATATAGTTCATTGAACTCTTGTCTTCAGTACCTAACCACAGCTGTGCAGCAAATACAAAACAAAATTAATAGAGGAACAAGGAAAAAGAGACAGCATGATCCAGTTGGGGGAGGGGGAGGACACATGGGGGAATAAGAAAAGTCTCACCTCTATCATAATCATCTTCCTCTATTGCTTTTTCCTGAAGCCTTTGAAGCCGTAAGATCAAGGATTTTATCTATACAAAGAGAAAAGAGTTAATCATGAAGAAGTTTCATCTAAAATCATTATTCATGTCTACACAATATAAATATACAGGATTATTACATCACTACAGTGGCCTGATTTTGTGAGTCAAGTCCAATACACATTAAGTGGACACACCTATCTCAAAATAGCTCAACTGCAGCTACTTGAGCCAAGCATGGCTGTAGTCCAAACATCTACAAAGATTAATAATATTTCTTGAAAAGCAAAAGAAATTGTGTGATTGCAGGATATTCTTCAACCTTTGAATTACTCAGAGTAAAGCTCATTATACGATACTTTCATAATGTTGCAGCATCCACTTTTGTTCACATTTACTCAGTTCTCACATTCTAGTCAGTATTCTTTTCTGAGCCCGTTCTATCAATTTTCTGTGTATACTACACAGAACAAGAACAAATCCTGAAATTTGCATATGCAAACCACAGTTTCTTCTGCAAGTAGAAAGAGAAATGCAGCATGAATATTTTGGGACAAGTATACTTGTGCTATGGCACAGAAAACTGTTCACATGCAGACAAAGAAGTTTCATTAAAATATAGTTTAGGCTCATCTCTAAAACATCAGCATCTGCATTTTCAGAACTGTTCACACTGCAAATGTTAGATGGGAGAGAACACACTCAAAAACCCTATACCACATCGGAAGTACCCTTTCACACCCAAAAATGCTCTTAGGAGAATAAAGTCTTATAATAAAAGTTACTGCTTCTCTTTGTTACTTGACAGCTCCCAATCAAAGCTCTGAAGCCCCACCTTTTACTAAAAATTCAGAAGGCCAGATCTGTATTCAAAGGCTGTTATGAGTTTATTAATAGAGAAATTTAGTTAAAATATATGCAGTTCTCTCCTCATTGTCGTATCAGCCATAGCCTAGCATAGCTAGAGTTATAAAACTGAAAAATGTTTTCTTCTCATTAAATCTGTATATGACCTATACCAACAAGCTGTTATCAGCACCGAGAAAGGTAAGCCTGGGGGGGGGAAGAAAAAGAAAACCAACTAGCATATATATTGTCATAGCCCAAAGACTGAAAGCACTTGGAAGAGCATTTTTCCAAGGCAAGAAAATCCATACTCGAGACATTCTGCTCCTACAAAAGCCCCTCAATTCCTTACTTCACAGTTTAACTTTTAAATTTCTAGACTTCATACTGAAAAATAGATACAGCCAATCAGCAACTTAATACTCAATTATCTGGACTACACAATCAACACACAAATTAGGCAAGGCATTTAAATCAACAGTACCCCTACTAATAAGTGAGAGCGGATTAGTCAGAAAAGAACTATAAAAGGCAAAGCCAGAAAAGAATCAAAAAGTGGTTGATTAATAATATCCTATAGGATCCACCAAATGTAACACTACATACGCGAAAAACTCCACACCATAGCATACACACCCTTTTCCACAAAGCTTTTTGTTTTTTTAATTTGTTTTTCACATCCAGAAACACCACTCTTTTGTCACTGAGGCTGGTGAGGAATACATAACCTGTATCCCTGTGAAGGAAGGAGCTCTGCATCCTCCTCATAAATTATTTTCTGTATTTCATGCCATACTTTTGATAGAGTGCTAAAGCAGCCTGCCGCGGGAAGGGTTCAAATGACACTTTTTTCATATATATGATATATTGCAACCATCTATACCTAGAGTACAGCATTGCTGCTTTTTGTACTGTTTATCCCATGATGCATTCACAATGGCAGGTCATTTAAAATCAGCTGGGGTACTACAGCACACACATGCCCATGGCTATGTGGCTGATACTGTTGCGATAAAGTGCTTTCTACTCACAAGCTAATAAGAGGTTTAGAGCTCAACTCAGAGTCAGTTCAGAGTGGCATGACCTATATCTGTACCATGTGATCATCACTTTTCAAAATAAGAAAAGCATATTTTTAAACAACTTTAGTAAAGTATTGTCTTCTCTTCTTGACTACAGTTGCTTTTGTTCCTTTTTGAAAAATTTGAGAACTCTCATTATCATCACAATAGGAAGGTGCTTCAGATTAAACATACACCATTGGCTAACCAATGGCAAAGACAGCTGAGGGCACACATCCACAGTTCTCCATGCAATGAATTAATAAATAAGGAAATTAAAGATAGTAATGTTTTCTTTGTCTGTCAAAAAGCATGCTAAAAAGACAGAAAACCATTTGTATTTTATGTTACATACTCCCAAATCTGCAGAGAATTAATTTCCCAAAAATTCCCAGATTTTTGAGCATGTTGTCATTACGTGCATGAAGTCAAAGAAACTGGCCCATGTCAATGCACGTGGAGTCTGCAAAAGTAGATAAGAGAACCTAATTTGAGTCCTATAAGCAACCTGTATGGAAAATAAATACTAGAGAGAGTTATAAGTCTAGGTCAGATGATAGAGTAAAAGTAAGATAAAGAACGAACAATGTTTCTTGATCAAAATGTTTCTCGACCTTCTGTCTCCCCCAGACAGAAGGGCTGTGCAGTCGCCCCACAGGCTAACTCAGAGCAGATTGCTTCACCACGCCTAAACACAATACAGCGCATCTCAGCAGGTACGTCTGAGCTAAGGCACAAGAACTTGCATTTTTGAAGGGCTGCCCATTCTGGGTTTAGCAGAGTTAGTATAGGCAGCGCTAGCTCAGCTGTCTGTGCCTTTACACCTGCGGTGTCCAGACATCCTCGACATCAGGACACCCAGGGCACTAGAGAGAGACTCTTAAAAAAAAAAAAAAAAAAAAAAAAAAAAAAAGACAGACACCATCCACTTATGCTGATCTTGAACAGGTTTAAATTTATGAAATCGATCAAGTCCATACTAATCTCTGCATTGCTACTTTCTGCATGCACAGTGTAGGCAATATTTGGCTTCTTATCACAAGAAGGTTCAGAATAGCTTCCCTCTGATGCCCCCCTGCATTCCCCAAAATACCTGAGATGAGGGGGGGGGGGGGGGAAAAAAAAAGTATGATGGAACACAACTGAGCCTTTCCAAGGCTTCCCCCCAGCAAGAATTCGATGAATGAGATGGCATGTCTACATGTAAGTATGCATGCATGCAACAAGGCATGTTCTAACCCAACAGTACAGTACTCCTCTGAGTTGGAAGAAAAAAAGGCTCAATTCCTAGTCTGAATTAGAGCACAAACTTGGACTCTATTTTTCTTCACGGTGGGAGAACACTTATCTACATACCCATTACTGGCTATTCTCACAGGTGCCTCACTCAAAGAAAAATCTAGCTAAACTTACACATTTCCGATCACAAGTTCCGGCGTTATTAAATTATGATGCGTCCAGCAAATAGCTCTTCCCCCTCTCAAGTTTCCTGCTACATACATTCCAAATTGCAGACAAAATAGCCCCCTCTGAAAGGAAGTAGCACTTGTTGAATTCAGGATCTGATGTATGACATATTAAAAAGTGAAGATCACAACTTCAGTAGAACATAGGAACTGAGTACTGCAACATCACCACTTTTTTTTTTAAAACAACCAAAAAGGAAAGGAAACAGGGTTTTCTCACTTTTAACATGCTACTTTTAAAAGGCTGGATACTAACACATTACCGTAAACCTTTGAACAAATGGCACAAAAGCCATTAATACCCTGACTCTTGCGTCAGCTTTGACACTGGCACTATAAATATGAAGTTTTGGAGGAACAGGGAGCAGGGGAGAGGGAGAGGAATAAAAGGTGAAGTAAGATTGCAGACCTTTAATGTACTGCGGTTGGCAAGCAGGCAGTCCAGTAGTACTGGTTCATATTTTTTCATCAAAGTATGCCAGTTATGGTCACTAACAGTAAAGCTACTCTCATAGCCTGAGGTGACAGAAGAACCAGCAGATGCTGCATCTGAGGAATCGGTAGAACATGAAAACGTTGCATCTGTATCTGAGAGAGAGACAGTCTCGCAATCCTGTAGTTTATCAATCACCGTGGTTTCATTTTCATACTTCAAATCCTCAGCGGGCCTAGAGAAGCAATACAAAGCTCCTGAGTGCTCATGAATTATTTCCGTTTCTTCCAGTTTCTGCGGCTTTCCCGCGGTGCTGGGATGCAGAACACGCTCATTTTCCTTGGCAGTTGACTTGCCTTCAGCATCACTTACTCCAGAGGCTGAGTTCAGGGAGAGCTGTATGAAGCTGAAACTTGAACTAAAGTTATCGTGTGGACCAACGGAATGAGAAGCAACTTCTTTTCTTTGATATTCACAGTTGTTGTTCACTTCTGTCTGACCCAAAGCACACATCTTTTGGGGCTCAATTACTTTAGCGCTATGGGTTGTCTGCCACACATTCGAACAGCGTACAGAAGAAACGTTTCCTTTGCTTGTGGCTGTGGCAGGGTAAACCGGTGTAATTATGTTTTCTGACTGCAGACTGCTGTAACCTGAAAGATTTCTGCAGTTTCCTGGCATGTTTCCAGTAGCGGCCAATGTTGTTGCCACATCAGTAGGAACTGCAGTACGATTTGCAATTGAACTACAGCATGAGAATTCAAAGTTATTTTTGTGTTGTCTGCATAGAGAGCAGTTTTCAAAGTCTTCACAATGCTCTCTGCCAAGTTTGAGCTCTTCCGCATTGAATGGCTTGCAGGCACCAGGGGACTGAAACTCTATCTGTTGCTGAGCTTCTGGCCTCATGTAGCCAGGTCTTTTTGCCAGTTTCTTTTTACGAAGAGAGCCTGCAGATATTAAGTGCTCCAGACCATCTGGAAAGAAAAAAAAAAAAAGTCATTAAAGTGCTGCCGCAATTTTCTAGGCTTAAAATATCATAGCATCTGAAAGTAATTATTCCAGGAATTTCAGACGGTGCATCAGTTCCCTTTTCAAGGAAACAAAGACCCTGACCATGCTGCGCACTGAGGAGAAAAGCTGTTATTGGAGAACTCTATATGTACGCATTCACTTTCTAAAGGGTTTGCACCTGCTGTTATGTGAATTCACTAATATAATTACGTCCATCAGGGCACAAAGTTGTGTATGATGAATCACATCATCTTCCCTGTTCATAGTAGTTCTCGGTGATTCTTCATTTTCAATTCACTGAGCAGCACGATAAAGCATAGAAGAACTTTAGTGTCTCTGATGCAGAAGGATTTTCAGATATACAAACACATCCAGTACAGCACTGAACCTGCATTAAAAAGATGAGAACCACACCTGCAGAGAAATTTTGCATGTATCTGTTGTTGCTCGTGCTCATGTCCAGTTTTGTGTTCGTATTCATATTTTATGAACACAAGTAAAGGTATTTCAGATCCCGCTTCCAGCGGAGATGTGAAATTGTAGAAGAACGATGGATGAACAGCCACAGACTAAAAGGATATTTTATAATTTTCCATTTAGATTTACTGTACTACTTGTTGTCCAAAACATAGGATTTAATAACAGGAGTTTTGCATCAGGACCCTCAGTCCTCACAAACTATTACCACCATATGCTTAATATTAATTATTGCAATATTAATGCTGTTAAGAAAAGGTTCTCAATTCAATAGCTCAATTTCTGCCCAGACACTTTATATAAATAGATGAAAAGATAAATTCACAGTTTTCAAAGCAGAATAGAAAGATCTGAGATTAAAAGAAAAAAAACATTAAAAACAGAAGATCAAAATTTAGTAGCTTGGCTTTATTTTCTGTATAGTGCTGTACAAAATTTATGGTTAATTTGAAAAACATCTAGTATGCCAAGAGTTAAAAAACAGAAGATCACATGGTGACTACTTTCAGTTTCTTATGGATTTACGGCTTGTGAAAAGTTATTCCTTTTCACTTCCATGAAAAGCAAGCCACCTTCTATGCAGTGAAACAAAATCAACTGCCGGAACATCAGGCATCATCCCCATCACTGAGAGAGGTGTTTCAAAAAAGTAGGTCTCTTTTTTTGTTTTTCCTCCATGCAATATAGAACAATCCTCATTAGCATATATTAAATATTCACTTTTAATCACAACCCTTTATCAGCTTTTACACAGAGACATTTGCACATAATGTTTATCATCTCAGCCACTCCCAAGAGAAGTCTCACACATACCTCATCAGTTACATGATCAGTGACATGATATACAAAACATTTAAGCACAATAGCGGACACTTCCCAGTGGACATTTCCCAGCATTCACTATATCTTCTCAAAACAAGCTTCAACAAAAGCAATTCAAAAGTTTTCCACATACTACAATATTGGCATCTTACCATGGGACTGCAGTGAAGCTTCTACACATTGCTACCTCTCACCATAAATCTGAATACCCCAGCTGTCTCTTATTATCTTTTATTTGTCAGAGGAAAAAGCATCACAGAAATTAGAATTAAAAAAAGATTATGAAGTCCTATCAGCCTGTCTACTATAAAAAGACAGTGAAATGCTCTATTGGGAGTAATTTAATACAAATCCTAACAAATAGAAACTGTTCTTGAAGCAAGGGAACTGAACTGGAAGAAAATGTTCTTCAAATTCAATTCTTTTAGTTTAGATACAAATTAACAGTCAACACTTCAGAGCAAATCAGCAGAATCCAGGAGAAAAGGGGTGGGGGGGCCTTCTAAGACTGGATACGCTTTGTCACAGCTGCCTGTAAAAGGGAAAAGGTTTCCTGCTTTAGTTCAAATCACTTTAAAATTAACCTCACTAAATCTCCATGGATGGGGAACAGATAGCTACTGTTTAAACATGACTATCTAGCCTCACGCACCCCCAGCCTGCCTGCCCCGGGCAAGGGGAGGGAGGGGACGGCCGTGGCCGGGCCCACTCTCCAGCGGGGTGGCGATAGCGGGGACCCCGGCCGTCACCAAATCCAGGCAGATAGGTCTCCCTGCGGCTCTGGCTGTACTACTCATGGGCATGTTGATCATTTCATCACATTCCCCTTTCAAAGCGTAGAATCATTTTTGTTGTTCGTGATTGTTTATCTGAAATTTACTGTGGTGTCTAAGGAGAAGATATTTGGTCATATTCAAAGCCAACTATCAAAGTATCGCTCCAAGCGATTTCTGTAGCGCTGCTTCTATTAAAGAAGCCTTAAAAACATCCATTAAACTATGCATCAAGTTAGTGAGATGATAATAGTTACTATTTACAAACAGGAAGACACACAGAAGTTGAACGTATCAATAAGAAAATTCACCATTCTCAGAGAGTGATTAATCCAATATGACAATAATAATTATTGTTCAGTTTCTATGTTAAAAAAATGTAAAATATAATTGCAGGTTTCTAATTAATTACCTTTTGACTTGTTTGCTGAATTTCAGAGATACCACAAAATATTCAAAATAAGCTGGCACTGATCTGAATACAGGCTATTTTAAAACAAACCACTACAGTCTGTTTAATCAAATATGCTTTCAAAGGAAGTTACCTTCGAATATAGATTTTTAAAACTCTTGAAACATTAAGATCTCATCCAGCTTTTTCATTTTAATTACAGAATGTTAGCTATGCTTTATCTACCATTTTACAAAAAGTATTTTTAAAAGACAAGAAAAGGTTGAGTTATATTTATCCCCGTTTAAGAATAATTTTCTCACCAAGGGTTCTTCCAATTTCTAAGATAACCTGCTGAGTTCAGTTATTCAACTGCTAAAATTTCCAGAATGTCACGAACAAAATATTTGCCAAAGACATTAAATGCTTGTTAGCTTTTACTCTTCACTACAAAACATTTAAGAGTTGTGCGTTTTAGATGTCAGACTGGACTTCCTTTGCCACTGTTTAAATAACTGTATTTTTATTGACACTCTTCCATAATGTAACAAACAACTCAATAACACACACATTTGAGCCTCTTAACTCCTTAATGCAACAACCCTTTTTAAACCATTTGTGAAAATTGCAGCACATCTCTCTAGAGTAAGAATCACATCAGCTGATACCAGTTTCAACACGTTCATCTTTTTTTTTTTTTCCTCAAAAAGGAAAAAAATCCATTATAAACTTGTATCCTGCCTTGTTAATGCTAAGGAAAAAAATAGCATCTATTTAAAAAGTGAGCTGGTAAATACCAGAACACTTCGAACACCAGTAACAAACCCCTATTTAATCAGGGGGAATAAGAAACATCCCTTTCCTTAACTACATATTTATAATCGTGTTCCGTATTGCTAATACTTTGAAACACAAACACATCTCTGAGCCCATCACTATTTAGCAGTGGATTGACTCATACAAGCATGTTTTTTCTCAAGCAAGTGCCTTGCTGAATCCAGGTCTAAGTACCTTGATGAACCACAAAATAAATCAATAAATTATGACCCTTTTAAATTTAAAAAAATATAATCACAAAAAGAATACAACTACCCAGCCTGTGAAAGCATGCACTTGCACTGTGAAGGTCTCTTTGATAACTAACCACCACCCTATGACTGGCAACCTGAGATCCAAGACTTGGCCATTATAAAAAGCTGCGTTACTCCAAGTTGAACGTAAATTACACTGTCCTCAGAAAGAATCTTTATTGAAAAAATGTTTAAATTGCTGTAGTTGAGGCCTCACTCCAGGTTTTACTGCACAACACATTAATGTAAAGTATTTATAAATAAAATCTATGTCACCCGACAATCTCAAGCTGGTTCATACAAAAACAAGATGAAACTGAAGAGGTACTTTCCAGTTGTGATGAAAAAAATGGAGATCCAAATGTTCTTCAAGGAGTTACACTGGGATAAAAATGTATGAAGGTAAACAAACACCCACCTTTCAGGAAATACACAGAACGCTAGCCACAGCGCTCAGGCAAGCTCTTCTGATGTCTGCATCGTTCTATCATTATATACCTACTGGGAATTTTACATATTCTTCTGAAGAACAGCCATCATATAGGATATTGGACAACCTGGTATCACAGGTTTGTTACGGCACAGTCAGCTCCAATTTCACCACTGCAGCATTACAGGGAATCTTAGTTTGGTGGCCAGTAAAAAAAAGCAGCCAAGTTCACTCTAGAATATAAAGGTAACTCCTTGCTGTCTCTCTAAAATAGGACCATTTAAATAACATGCTACTGTTGAAAAAAGCAGGAAT